AGAGCGGTCTTTTCTGGTCAGTTTTGATTTCATATGTCTGGAACGCCCACTGGCCCCTCTAATGCAAACAGCGGTCAAACGCTGTCAGATGTGTCATTTTGACTATGTTCGCGCCATTTATTACTTTGAAGAGCCAGTTGGTTCGTCTGCAAGCATAAAATCGCCACAGAATGAACAGCATTTTAATCAGGTCTAGCAACATCATCTAACACCACAAATACAACACCCTGAACAGTACAGCGAAAGCTCACATCAGAGTAAAACAATCTGACTCCAAAGCCTAAAAGAAATATGCTGCGGGGTTCAATGATATTCGTTTAAATTAGTCGTGTTTTGACCAACTCCGTGTAAAGTTACTGGATAAGCTATTAGTGGGGAAGTTTTATACCCTTCCGGCAGAAATCAAGTACAATGTATTCATCAGGTTTTGAATGATTATGTGGCGTGATTCTTTACATTTTGCCAAAAGGTAAACCACATTGGAATAAAAATGACCGGAGGTTTGACCATCACTTTTGTTCACTCTAGTGTCTGCCATGGAATGACCATTTCTGCATATGCAAATGTACCCCGCCAGCTAAATCTTGGGAAATAGAGATTGGAACTTTACCTCAGTACTGCTAGAGATATTGCACACAGACTTTCCTCTTGTCACCAATGTCAAGAGATGACAGCCTCGACAGCGGTCATGTGACCTGAACCCAATCTTTAGTGAGACACGAATGGCCTAACGGTTCATCCGGAGTCAGTAAAAAGTCGATTCTCACTTCTAACGACATACGAGGGAAAGTAGTAATATCGTTGAATCAGAGTGATCTTTAAAACGCTGTGAGAAAAAATCAGTACAAACGATAAGAACAAATTCAAGAGTTTCAGTGACGAAAGTAAGACAGCCAAAGCGAAGAATCACCTAACTTATGTCATTGCATACACATAGGTAATGCCAAGTTTTCGGGTCATGTAGTTGTTATCAGCGAAGATGACATGTGCCTAAAACTAGCCAGACCATAATACTTACCGGTGCATGTTTAGCTGTTCGAAGCCATTTATTGACAATCGGAGGGTGTAATAGAAAAATCAGGGGAGCGAAAATGGAAAAGACAACGAGAAAAGGCGAACACAAAACAATTCTGATAGACTTCCGCCACCCCATGGTTACTTTGGCGGCTAGTCCGCCCAGAGTAACTGCATCATCTCCAGGAAGTTTTTATGCCTCTACCATGTTTGTTGGTGTTCACTGGTCTTACAAAGTAATCTTTATATCAACTTAGTGCAGCAACCTTCTGAAACACGCTGTTTCCTCCTAAGGCCAATAATTGGCGGGCGTCTCAAACGGATCTGACGGTCAACAGTGGTCAAAACAATAGATAACTGCGCACCCAGCACGAAATGAATACGACGACTTCTAACCGAATTCAAAGGACTTAAATTAGCACTCTAACACGCAGACCAGTGAACTGTGCACAGTTTTCTCACTTGCTGACAGTCTAGCTGAATCCAAATTAACCTGCTACTAAAACCTTCCCATGTAAGGATATGTATTCAAAGGGGTCATTTGAGCACCCAAGTTGAAAGTGGGGAAAATTACTCTTACGTACTAAATGCTGTCGACATTGTCCAATAGTCTATTATTTCCACGTGATTTCACAGAAGCTGCTCAGTAAGTTTTACTGAGATTAGTGGCGCTTCATCCATTACCATTTGTTGGTTTCCACAATTATTTCCCTGTGTGCGATATTTCCGCAAAAACTTCTCTTACGTCAGAAATGTGAGCATATATCTACTAACCAAGGGAAAATAGGCGAATAATGCAGATTTCTAAGCACACAGGGACACTTTTTACGACTAGTTCGTAAGCAGTATTTGTTGCATAGGGTTCGCTCAAAGTATAGACAGCCCAACAAAACTCTTTCTGAATGAATTAAATAATGAATTAAATAAATAAATAATTAACAAATAAATAAAAACAAATAATAAAATGAATAAAAGTGAGTTGGGATACAAGTATTCACCTGAAGCTTATCCGAATCGCCTGAGGTATTTTCACAGGGGCTAGAAATTCTCAAGTCTTCCCTTATGGTTGAGATCTCTGTTCGGTGTGAATAGCGTAATCTGTGAATATCCCGTGTGAACATCAGAGTTACTGCGCTTTTTTCAACCAATTCCTGCAGGTACTTAAGCAAACTTTGGGAATGTTTTGAACCGCAGCTTCAAGAGAGCAGAATTTCAAGGCCAGTTGGTCAAATAAGAATCTCCAAAGTTGTCCTCCATGACAAACCCACGAACAGACCATAGGTTCATCATGCTTAACCACAGCTTGCCACAATCCTTCCGCTGCTTTGGAATCGACGAGGTCATAAAGGTAGATATCTGAACAAGGGGAATCTTCTCAGTAGAAGGTCCAGCTCGCCAATAGAGTTATATCCTTTAAGTGGAGCCCGCTAGCGTCGAAAAGCCAAGAATCTCTGCGCAGACCATTTTTGAACATAGTCAGCCGTACTTAACGCACGAAAGTTCAGGAAGTTTTGAACCCATACGCCTCCGTCGAGGAGAACAACTAACCATTCGATCATGGTCGGAGAACCAATCAAGCAGGCAGTCAAACTGCCGAGGCCACAGAACAAGTTTTACGTCAGTTAGGTACCCACCATTTCGCCTATTTCTTTCAATTTGTTGGCCATAGGCCCACGACAGGTTTACCCTACCGGTGAATCCAAAGCTGCGTAACCCATAGGCTACTTGGGTATATACACTATGAAATAGTCTGACAGTTCTATTTGAATTTTCAACCATTCTTACCGGAAAACCAACAGGAGTTGGCTTGAGTTGTTGGGTTCCAGAACAGTTTACACTCTGCCACAGCATAAGCAATGGCAAGTGAAGGAAGATAGCAGCAGCTATTTTAACTTATGTCAAGACCGTATGGGTTGAAAGTGAGTACTGGAAAAAATAACTGGAATACGTTGAATCCCAGGCATGAACCCTACTCATGTATCAACCGATTCCTGTAGAAAATTATAACAATTAAAACTTCATGTGAGTTGCGTTTTATCGTAATCTTGCAAAAATAACTTACGACAATGTACACAAGGGCGGAATTCTTAGCTGTAAGTCTTCCGTTTTACAACTAGCACTGATGTGCGCGATCAAACTACAACAACCTCAATGAAATTTTACTAGTTAATAATTCAAACATCATTCAATCACTACGGCATGCGTATTTATCGGTAATAGACGCCGGTGGCAAGTGGAAGAGGTAAAGTGATTCCGGAAGCAGCGCCCAAAATTATTAGTGAACTATTACTGCCTGATGAGGTAAGCATTTGTACTCTGAGTGTTGAGTTTGATAAGGTTGAACAAAATTCGACGACACAAGTATTCGACGGGTTTTGGTCAGTAATGCATTCAAAACTTATAAGGATAGCATTTTTTTGGAAAAAGGAACTAGCATAACACTACCGGTAAATATAGAGGAGACAGGAGGATCTGTCATAGCCGGTGGGCGTCCCACACGGATTCTTAATCCACTGCGTACATGGCATTTCGAGAAGATATCCTGAAATATATTTTGCGCTTATTCTAATCAGGACTTGAAATTAGAGTTAGTTTAACGGACCATGTGACGTGATATAGAGTTCACAAGGCCCGCACTATCGGCATCACTGTTTAACTGTGTTCAGCTAAAATCTATTGGTTTACGTCTCAGATGTTCAATTTTTCGGTTTGTTTTGTCCCCTAGCCACACTCAGACCCAAATTAAATTTTAACATGTCAGACAGTCCATGTGTCTCAGTCGCCAACAACAGTGTGCCGCAGGCGATCGTCAATGGATCCTATACGAATATTTCGACACTAAACATTCGAAGCTCGAAACGTTTTATGAGCTTAAGAAACCCGATCATTTGATGTTTGAGCAAATATGGCGAAATAACTTCACTGCTTTGAACTGACCCTTCTGTCAGCGTATGGTTCCTGGGGTTCGAAGGTGGGCTTCGGTGGAGTTGTTTAAAATAAGGGAAGATATGACCTCATCCTTTCTAATGTCGTAAATGGTTTCCCATCACTTAAAAGCAGAGATAAAATTTTCATCGAAAAAGTTAGCCACGGTTAAAGTTTGCCACTAAAAAACGCAACAAGGAGAAACTTACACTTTCCTTTACCCCCGTGAAACGGTTCACTGATGATTATATCTAACGAAGTCTGCATTAGCAAATGAACAGTAGGCTTATAATCCGACATGCGAGACAAAATGACGTCAGCGAACTAGACGTTATGAAACCCGGTCACAAGACACCTCACTTTTATGGACTATCAAGGCATGCCAGTACGGAGTGAAAAAGGTTTATCGTATTCAGATGCCAAAGTTTTAACTAGGTTCTCATGCGAAGATCATCTCATAAACGTAACATACCACTCAATTTTATTGAAAACTGTTCAACAGCCCACCACCGGTTTCGCATAAAATAGGCAAACTGCACTCATCTTCAAACAAATCTTGTTTTGACGAGAGGTCGAAAGAAAACCGAGCTTAAAAACATCGTAAACGAGTGATTCAGCTGAGTTCCAGGTGTCTCTCGTCCTAAATAAATGGGTAGGCGAATGACCGCACTTTGTTTTCAGAGTTTTTTATGTCAAGACGTTCGCACAACTATATATGGCTATTAGTACTAACGTATCTATCTGTGGGTTTGTCACTGCTAAAGACTGTAATCCCCCGAAATAAAAGGGTAACGCACTTCCCAGCTTTAAGTTAGTCGAATTCCAAGCATGGCGTTTCGTTGGTTGGGAATAAACTGTATGCACCAATCAGAAACGCTCGGAGTGAAACTACCAGTTGCCCAATAAAAATTAATTGTGAATTTGGATAACAGAAGCGGCAACAATTGAAATTTCAGAAGACGCCGTACAAGTATTTTGTGGAATCATACCGGCGTGTTCCATTTCACCAGAATTTTCGGTTTTACTTCCAATTTGTCTTTAAATAGCATAAACGCCAAAACATGAATGTGAAACACTTACGCATTGCTATTGGGGTTCAACCCCAGTCGGTGATTATTATTTTATATTTTACATATTGTGCAGGAATGAGTTCGTTGAACTATTCAGACAAACTTAACACCTCCAGATTTCATAACACAACACCGTCCACAACAAACTTAACTCAAGCATGGAGATTAATGGATATTTTTATTTTTATCACATCCTGTTTATTCGTTATTATTGCCGCTGTTGGGTTGTTGGGCAATTTGCTGGTGATATGCGTACTGACCAGCACTTCCAACCGGCTGGTGTACGAGACGTTCTGCATAGGACTGGCTTGCACCGATTTTACCTACCTCATTCTAACAAGTCCGATCACTGTATCACAATACTACCTGAACAGCTGGATTTTTGGCCTGTTCTGGTGCAAGGTATTCAACTTTGTCGTACAAGTAAGTTAAATGTCTTCTACTCGGACTATGTGCAAACCGAATGCATTACATTGACGATTAACTCCGTTGTAGCTAATGGAATGATAATTTCAAAAAATATAGCTTGAATTTCTATTGCCGACTGTAGAATCTGCCTAACTAGCCAATACATATGCCTTAGTTCAGGAACAACGCAAACTGTAGAGCGTGAAGCAGCATTAATCGGGCAATTCGTGCTCCACGCATGGTTCCTTTCGCTGACTTGAAATGCATCTCAGTCTTCCTGGTTATCAATTGCACGTAATTCACTTTGTATTTAACCTAAGTATGCCCCTCACCTTTCTGGTAAAAATCGCCATCTCCTGTGATTACTCTATCACTATAATTACTCAGCGGTTTCATAGTGTGTTGCGATTTAACAGAACGATTGAAGTATTTGAGTTCGCATAAAATAGGCAAACTGCACTCATCTTCAAACAAATCTTGTTTTGACGAGAGGTCGAAAGAAAACCGAGCTTAAAAACATCGTAAACGAGTGATTCAGCTGAGTTCCAGGTGTCTCTCGTCCTAAATAAATGGGTAGGCGAATGACCGCACTTTGTTTTCAGAGTTTTTTATGTCAAGACGTTCGCACAACTATATATGGCTATTAGTACTAACGTATCTATCTGTGGGTTTGTCACTGCTAAAGACTGTAATCCCCCGAAATAAAAGGGTAACGCACTTCCCAGCTTTAAGTTAGTCGAATTCCAAGCATGGCGTTTCGTTGGTTGGGAATAAACTGTATGCACCAATCAGAAACGCTCGGAGTGAAACTACCAGTTGCCCAATAAAAATTAATTGTGAATTTGGATAACAGAAGCGGCAACAATTGAAATTTCAGAAGACGCCGTACAAGTATTTTGTGGAATCATACCGGCGTGTTCCATTTCACCAGAATTTTCGGTTTTACTTCCAATTTGTCTTTAAATAGCATAAACGCCAAAACATGAATGTGAAACACTTACGCATTGCTATTGGGGTTCAACCCCAGTCGGTGATTATTATTTTATATTTTACATATTGTGCAGGAATGAGTTCGTTGAACTATTCAGACAAACTTAACACCTCCAGATTTCATAACACAACACCGTCCACAACAAACTTAACTCAAGCATGGAGATTAATGGATATTTTTATTTTTATCACATCCTGTTTATTCGTTATTATTGCCGCTGTTGGGTTGTTGGGCAATTTGCTGGTGATATGCGTACTGACCAGCACTTCCAACCGGCTGGTGTACGAGACGTTCTGCATAGGACTGGCTTGCACCGATTTTACCTACCTCATTCTAACAAGTCCGATCACTGTATCACAATACTACCTGAACAGCTGGATTTTTGGCCTGTTCTGGTGCAAGGTATTCAACTTTGTCGTACAAGTAAGTTAAATGTCTTCTACTCGGACTATGTGCAAACCGAATGCATTACATTGACGATTAACTCCGTTGTAGCTAATGGAATGATAATTTCAAAAAATATAGCTTGAATTTCTATTGCCGACTGTAGAATCTGCCTAACTAGCCAATACATATGCCTTAGTTCAGGAACAACGCAAACTGTAGAGCGTGAAGCAGCATTAATCGGGCAATTCGTGCTCCACGCATGGTTCCTTTCGCTGACTTGAAATGCATCTCAGTCTTCCTGGTTATCAATTGCACGTAATTCACTTTGTATTTAACCTAAGTATGCCCCTCACCTTTCTGGTAAAAATCGCCATCTCCTGTGATTACTCTATCACTATAATTACTCAGCGGTTTCATAGTGTGTTGCGATTTAACAGAACGATTGAAGTATTTGAGTTCAATCCACCCTATAGAATCGATTAATTTAGAAAGATATGCCGAGCTTTTAGGTTGTTCATGGTAAACCAACTGAAAGCCAACCATATTAATATTGTCTTAAAGTAGTACAATTGTTGAAACAAACAGGGAGCTGAACAACATGCTTAGTTTGCACTAAAGCTACAAACAGGCGATTAAGCTTTGGATTTTGTTTTGAAAATTTATAAGATTCGGACTTTTTTCAATGCAACTGACGACTGATTCAAAGATATTTAAGCTCACCGGTCAAACATTGGCACGCCTCTTGCAGGACGACCAAGTTGTGTGGCCCTGGCTCCGTGAGACATTCTGGCTGCAAAATAAACCCTACTTAGAGCTAAGAATAATGGGAAAAATTTCAGTAGTGCTTGATAGGGATGGCCTATTTTGTTTAGATGATACCGATAGTTTTGAGGTTCCGAACCTTCTCCATTCTTTTTCTAAAGACAGTGACATCACAAGATTGACGATGGGATTCCTCAGAACTTTGCCACTTAAACGGTTAACTAGCGGCTTACCGGGCAAATTGGACACTGCCAAGTGCCCATAGATGAAGATCTGAATGTCTAATTGCTAGCCGAAGGTTCCTAAAGATTCACAGCCTCACTTTTTTCCTCAGAATTTGCCACTTAAACGGTTAACTAGCGGCTTACCGGGCAAATTGGACACTGCCAAGTGCCCATAGATGAAGATCTGAATGTCTAATTGCTAGCCGAAGGTTCCTAAAGATTCACAGCCTCACTTTTGAGTAATCTCTGGAGGATAAACCTGCGGCACAGATCTCTTTGAATTATTGCTAAGTTTCTTCCGAGCAACACTACTATTTGCACAAATTCGCCCGTACAACTCACAAGCGTGAGAAACACTTACGTGCAAAATAAATCGCAGTTGAAATTTGATAGGCAGGCAAAATCAGTCATGCCGTCAGACTGTTGCCGACCACATTATTTCTATTCCTTCGTTAATGCACTGATCTGTTTGCCAAATATGCAAATCATTAATGTTTGAGAGAATCGTATTACTAGTTTTGCACGTAAATTTGCTCGGTTGATTGGAAAATGATTGACATTAATCAAGAAAAAATCATCTAAGGAGAGCCGAATTCATTCTTTGTTTATAATTTCTAAAATGATCATTTAACTCAGTTATCTTCCCCTAAGGTTCAAAGAGAAAAAAGACAACCAAAAATGACTAATGGTTCTACTTTTGCCCCATAATAATGCTACAAATTCCTAGAAAGAATGAAGTTTTTCTCCGTAGTTTTGACTACAGGCTTAAGTTTCATACGATACTTTATATATGGGATCGACTGTTAATGTGTATGACAGGCTCTGTAGTAGTTAAGTTTCACTTCGAAGGCTTTCAAGAACCCAGATAATTACAACATTACTAACAGATTGCTAACCAGAGAAATATCTTTGTGAATCAGCCCGCGACATCTATCTAGGAGGTGTATCATCCTTCGTGATAATCATTTGCTAAAAATAATTGTAGTTTTTTGTGTTCTAAATGAACTTGAACGACCTATGCGTCTCTCGCAAGGTTCACTTGCGGTATTGTAGACCCGAATCGACATTGCTCAACTTTACTGTATTTTTGCTGTAAAATTGTATTTAGTCCTACCTAATTGACTACTCATACGCATGGCTACCATTCTCACAGATATCTGTCGGGGGACATACTTCCCCTCCCAAAACCAAGTTAAAAGAAAGATTCCTCTATAAACCCATGGACGTTGGATCCTCACTTTATCCCATTTAAGTAGACGTTACTTAAAGAAAAAAGCTTGGTTCAACCAGCAATCAACACTGGTTTGAATTAAAGTATGTCGATCTATACATACCTTTGGTTAACCCGGCGGTGCTCTTCTACAACATATTGTGCAACTAGCAACTAACTTCCGGAGAATTCGAGTGTGGCTGACTGAAAATCTGCGTGGCTGAGGGACTGACAAAAACGAAAGTAATATGCTGGACACAAATGGACTAATATAAAATACTGAACAATCGGGACTTCTGGCCCTGAACAAATATATTGGTTTCCAGCCCACTAAATGAGATACGACCTCTTTAGTCTTTGTGATGCAAATATTTACTGTCAAGGTTTTGATATGCAATGATATAATTGATATATACTCTGATATATTTTGGTGCGAACTTTATGGTAGACTTTGCAAAGAAAAAAGGGTATGACTCATGTTCCTCATCGAAAAAACATAACGAAAGGTAGAACTTGAGTGACTGTGAACCAATCATTATCCAGGAATTTTTGTGCTTATTCATTTACTGAGACGGTAACTAACGCAGAAGGAAACAGGCGAGTAATATTTCATTCGTACCCTTCACCACTGTCTGCTTTCAGCTTCATAACGAAGAGGGAGGGTATTCACTCTGTCGATACTACCCTAACTCGGCACGTTGCTTCTGAACTCGAGCAAGATCTGCGACCATCACATAGGGTGGTTGAAGCCTCTGACACTGATTCTAGGTGTCAACCTGTGTTTATTGCGGAGCTTTATAAAAATAGGAGGTATATTCCTGGAATGATTTTGTTTTCTTATTGAGCGTTTCACTGCAACAAATAACGCTCGTGAACTTTCCCACAAAGAAAATCATTGCACTTTACTAGCTCCATGTCATGTGCCTTTACTAGTGGAAACATGTACGCAATCCGGTTGGTCAGCGTCAGGTTTCTCAATCAGGAAGTATCGGATCCCAATTATTAAAACTTATTTTTGCTCAGCCTGTATTTAAATTGCACGCACGAGTGTTTTCAAACCGCTGGAAACTGTCAGCTAACATGCTTGTCGACGTCTGAATAAATAGATAAACATCCCACAGGAACAAGAATACGTTCATTCTTGAAGTGTGATTCAATCTCGGTGGTTAATCTCATGTTGAATTCATTTAATTTTACGGCAGTTGATGGACAATCTGGTCTTCAATCAGCCTTGCAATGTCATTAATAATTTGAGAAAATTATTATACCCGCTCGGCGGTACTTGTCGTTATGGCGTAGAATCGTCTCCCAGCATTAGTGTTGTCACCAATTTAAAAAAATTGCCTTCATGTTTCAGTTGTAGTGAATGCTCTACTTACGTGATTCAAATAATATGTATTGGAAATAATCCCATGAAAGGACATGTTACATTTCCTATGCTTTTGTTGAAGGGGACCGTTTTTGAGTTGCAGTGAATCATTGTATGTCACTGACTAGCTTTTGTCGTTGTTTACTATATTTCTCTAAATTTGCGGATTAGGATATCATATGTTTACAGTGTGAAAGGAGGTTTGAGATCAACAACAAACTTCCCCAAAATCGGAACAACTTTGACAGAAATGTGACACACCGGTGGTGGTTAAGTGAAATTTTCAAATGAGATAACAACCGAAAAAATACTGGGTTGAAAACGCTTTGATGTGTACCCCCGACGACTGTCTATTGATTCTTTTCCTACGATGATAACCTAGAATCCACTGTTGGCTGAAGATAACCAAAGAATATAGCAGCAGAAAAACTTGCCTTTTATTGTTATACTTTTAAAACACGTATCATTAACACCATAAAAAGCCACGTCCTGAGTTAAGTATAAATAATAAAACGACGATGTAAGTGTGTGTTTACATAACGAACAAAAGAGTCAAAATTGTGTATCAGTCAGCGAATTGTGACAGAACGACTGCGCCTAAATGATATCATAGCTGTGGCACACCGTCATTTTTTGCTTTTGTTCTTATGGTTTTTCTCTACGAGCCGAATAAATAAAGATGAGAGAATATCGTATATACATCACTCCAATTTGACCACTTTTGATGTCCCAACATGGTCTGAAGAGAGATTTCTTGAAGAATGAAAATGCTACAAGAAAACGAGCTGCCCACAATTAGCTAAAAACCGTCTGTCGGGTCCTGAGCGCCCGTGCCACTACTGACTGGGAAGTCCTGACAGATGTGCCAGCTGAGTGAATCACCCAAGACAGTCATTGAGTCGTTGTTAAGTGCGTTGGGCAAGAAAATCGCATCGCTCAAGCGCGAATGTCAGCGCCTACCTAGATGTTATGTCTAAGCGCATTTAAATTTCCAGATGGCGATTTTCCCAGAGTGATACGGCCAAGAACAAACACCGCTTATGGGATTTAATAAATGCGGACTCATGGTATAACGCCATTGTTTTAAGCGAACCAGTATCCTCATATCGTGACATTATGAACGGTAGTGGAAAAAGGAATGACGTGAACACAAAAGACATGTGCGAAACAAACCTGCTTTCGGCGAACTTTGGGTATGTAATAAGTCATTCACATAAGACATAATATTATGCAAAAAATCTAATGTTTGGTGCACTTTTGACAAAATTCATGCTGTGCCTCCGGCTAACATACCACAGAAAGCGCAAAAACAATGGACAAATACCAAAGGCATTCATTCGCACGCGTGAAAAATTTTGGCGAATGTTGACCGTGCCATGGAAACTTATCTTAACTGATATTTGAGACTTAGCCAAACTGCTCACATGCTTCAAGAAACTAAAAGTGTAAATTGTGATAAACGAGGGTAAAT